GCTCCGTCAGGCCGCCCCGGGGAGACCCTGGGCAACGGCTGCCCCGCCTCATCAGACAAAGGCCGGGAAACAAAGCCGCACAGAAAGCAAGGGCGGGAGGAACTTTGTTTTTAATTGCAAACCAGGGACTGACCATCTCTATCAACTTTTGCTAAAACACTAACTGAGGAAGGATACGTCATAAGGATACAAAGCCGGGAAACGAATGAAGAAACCGAGCGTGTATAAAAACCTCCACAAAGCATCACTTTTCTTCCAGCAGCGCGAAAACCCAAGAGCTCACACGTTTACACGGGTCCCCCCCGGTCCTCACGCCGTCCGACCGCATCCTGCTCTGGGCGTCAGAGGGTCCTTACCGACTCGAAGATCGCGACCCCGTTGGCGCCGATGTTGCCACTTGGTGTCACGCCGAGCCCTCCAATCAGCCCCGCACACAGGTCGCTGGGGGCAGAGAGGACGCCGGGTGTCGGTTTGAAAAACAAAACATCTCCCCCGGCACCTCGTCTTCAGTCTCCAACACCCTCCTCCACCAGAAGGACCAGGCCCCACGGGGAAACGGCCCAGGACTAGTTAGGAGTCAGGAGCCTCATGGGGAAACAGCCCAGGACTAGTTAGGAGTCAGGAGCCCCATGGGGAAACGGCCCAGGACTAGTTAGGAGTCGGGAGCCCCATGGGGAAACGGCCCAGGACTAGTTAGGAGTCGGGAGCCCCATGGGGAAACGGCCCAGGACTAGTTAGGAGTCGGGAGCCCCATGGGGAAACGGCCCAGGACTAGTTAGGAGTCGGGAGCCCCATGGGGAAACGGCCCAGGACTAAACGGCCCAGGACTAGTAAGGAGTCGGGAGGAGCCGGAGCACAGGGCCCCATGGGAAACGGCCCAGGACTAGTTAGGAGTCGGGAGCCCCATGGGGAAACGGCCCAGGACTAGTTAGGAGTCGGGAGGAGCCCGGAGCACAGGGCTGTGCCCGCAGCGAGTGGCCGTTCACAGCGATGCCCGGCCCAGGGCAGGACCCCCGTGCCTGATGGTAATGGACACAGCCACTGTTTAAAGACAGAGTCCTGACTGACCGGCAGATACACACAGGACACAGGACACAAGGAAAAGCTGTGCCAACAGAACACCAGCTGGTGAGTGTGAGGAGGAGGGACTGAGAACGTCACCACGTGGCCAACATCATGCGTGTGAGCGTGAGCGTGAGTGCGTGAGTGTGAGCGTGAGCGTGTGCGTGTGAGTGTGAGTGTGCGTGTGAGCGTGTGGAGGGGGAGAAACAGGAAACGTGGCGGAAGGTGAACCGTGGTGGCCGAGGACACAGGCATCCTGGGTACCTCTCTCGCTGTTAGTCTGAAATTATGTCGGAAGTCACCAAAAAGTCTATAAAAATGACCACCCACCTACCCAGCGATACAGAAAACACGCAGTCGGTCCACCAGCCGGCCAGCCAGGGACCCTGTGGAGACCGTGAAGCAGGAGCTCACGACCAGGGAGCAGGGCCAGGCCACGCGGCACGTGAATGAAAAAGCCCACCGTGTGCCCACAGACATCACCCCCTGGACGGTCACAGCTCGACGCCCAGCTCCCAGCAGGCACCAGGCTGACAGGGCGGCCACCTACCTCAGGATGTCCCCGTACAAGTTGGGCATAACCAGAACATCGAACTGGGACGGGTCCTGGACCATCTGCAAGAAACACGTGTGATGCGTTCAGCCGTCACACCGGCACGCACACAGACACCCCCCGACCTCCCCCTCCCCCGCCCCCGCCACAGAGAGCTCAGCCCGGGGAGCGGCACTTACATTCAGACACACCGTGTCCAGGTACATCTCGTTAAACTTAATGTCTTTGCAGTTCTCGGCAACTTCCCTGCACTTCTGCAGGAAGAGCCCATCCGACATGCGCCTGTGTGGGACCAAACAAAAGCTGTTGAAGCAAAGACTCAAGGAAAAGCCTCAAGTCGGAGAAGTAAAGCGAGTTCACGAAACGGAGGCCCGGCGCCTGCTGGGTCACGTCGATGACAGTGCAGTTACGTTTCAGGCAGTAGCAGCAAGAATTCAGAACGGCCTGTGAATCAGAAAATCACGTCGCTTCACAAGGCTCACGTCTCCGTGGTTCACACGGTTGACTGTTTACACTTCCCTCAGAGGAGAAGGGAAACTTCGAGAATACTACCTCCGCCAGCACTCGCACTGGGAGCGAGACCAGCTTACGCCCGAGCCCGTGTCCATTTCACAGACGCTCTCGGGGCCACTTCCGCTGGGGTCCCCGATGCCAGAGCGCCTGGTATTTCTCAGCCCCTCCTCAACCTCCCAGGACTGCATCCTGCCCTCCCCAATCTGCTTGTCACCCGCCCAGTGAGGCACATGAAATAGGAGACCTGTACCCCACTGGTACAGGCGGTTTTGGAGACCCCAGGAACTAGGGACCAGCCGGGCAGAAGGGCAGCCCCCCTCCGCCCCCCGCCAAGCCGCCCGGGACTCACATGATGTTGGCTTTGTGCACGGCGGTGACGTTGCTGCGGTGGTTGTTGCGGGCGTACTCGAAGGCGAACTCCGCGATGCGCTTGCTCGCCTGCTCGGTGATGAGCTTGATGCTCTGCACGACCCCGTCCACGATCTGGAAGACAGGAAGGCGGCCTCGCTGGAGAGGGTGCGGCAGGGCCGGGCACCGGGCAGCTGCCTGTCAACAGCAGCCTGAGTGGTGGGCTCGTGGTGCCAGCAACCGTGGCTAGCGTCACGCATGCGGGGCGGCCGTGGGGTTCATGTGGGCCCATTGCACGGAGGAGGAAAACTGAGGTGCTGAGGTCACCTGCCCATGGGCACCCCTGTGAAGCCCGGATTCAAAATTCAAACGGGCATGTTCCCAGGCCCATGCCCTTCCCCGAGCAGCCACGTGACCACCGCTGGCCAGAGGCCCAGGACCAGGACAACGTCACCCAGGCAGCCCTCCCGCACACCCTCCCGCCGACACCCACCGACCCACCAGGCTCCTTGCACAGGGTTCCGCCTCTGACGCTACCCGCCCCACAGTCGGAGGAAGGCGTCCCCACGGGAAGCTTTCTAGAATGTTCACTGACCAAGGACCAAGCATGAACAACCTAACCCTCGCCACCAGCAGTGTCCCGGCTCTGTGTCCGTCCCTCAGAAACGGAGGAGAAACCAAGTTCCTTTTGAAAAGCAAGAGCAGAACTGCCCAGGCCCCCAGGCAGGAAGCGGCAGAGATGAGATCCACCCTCGACCGGCCTGGACGCAAAGCCTGTCTCATAACGTAAAGCCAGGATTGTGAATCGTGACCTTAACTGCGTGTTAACGAAAAATCATAAAAATGTAGCCGAAACCGGTGTGGCCCAGTGGACTGAGCATCGGCCTGCGGACTGAAGGGTCCCGGGTTCGATTCCGGTCAAGGGCATGTACCTTGGTTGCAGGCACATCCCCAGTAGGGGGCGTGCAGGAGGCGGCTGGTCGATGTTTCTCTCTCATCGATGTTTCTAGCTCTCTATCCCTCTCCCTTCCTCTCTGTAAAAATCAATAAAATATATTTTTTTTAAAATCATAAAAATGTAAAAGTCGGCGAAGATAAGCCCAGGTCAGGATAGACGTACTTGCACTTGACACGAGCCAGGAGACACTTCATGTTTCCGCTGGGAAACGACACGGAGTGGCCAGATGACTATGACCCCCCCATCAGTACAATGAACTCAGTCAGTTATGCAAATAATAATAAAACCTTGAGTGTATTTGCTTAGGAAGCTTTCACTGTTCAGCATTTGTGGACGTGTCCATGGAGTGCTGATGGGGTGGCCATCACCATCTGCCACTCGGTGTGTGTCCCTCAGTGAACAACACAGCTCGCGCTGAGGGCGCTGCCCCCGCTGGCTTTATCCGCATCCGCCCGCGTGCGCCTACCTTTCAGGCCCATCTTGTTCTTGTCCATGGACTCCTTGGCTTCGGGGGGGATCATCCACTTCCCGCTGGGGCCCTGAATGGCGGTGACGCTCCGCTCCTCCCACTGAATGGGCGCCTGCAGGCCACACCGCCGCGGTGAGCGGGAAAGACAGCGTGAGCGACCGCCCCACCAGCTACCAACACACTTCACCCTCGGGCGCCACGGGCGAGCACACACCACGCAGGCCCAGGAGGGTCCCGGGATGCAGGAAGCAAAGTCCTGCCCGGCCGGCGTGGCTCAGGGGTTGAGCATCGACCTACGAACCAGGAGGTCAGGGTTCGATTCCCGGGCAGGGCACAGGCCCGGGTTGTGGGCTCCATCCCCAGTAGGGGGCGTGCAGGAGGCAGCCGATCCGTGATTCTCTCTCATCATGGATGTTTCTCTCTCTCCCTCTCTGAAGTCAGAATATATTTTAAAAAAGCAAAAGAAGAGATGTCCCTCTCCAGCTCGCCCACGGGGACTCCCGCGTCACCCCGTCCAGTCGCACTCCCAGCTGCCACCTGCCCGCTTCGGTTTCTCACAACTCTTAACGTGGCTATAATTAGACCACCATCAGGAGTGGAGAAGGGACACTGCGGACAGCTGATACAGGGATGGCCGAGAACACTGTGCAGGAGACACAGCCAGCCCCGAGAGACCCCCTCACAGACCCTACTCGTATGAGACGGACGGAGGCCAAGCTGTGGAGACCAGGAGCTGAGTGGCTGCGTGGGCTGGTGACGGGACGGGGGAGGGGGAGAGGTGGGGGAGGGGGAGCGACTGCTAATGAGCGTGGGGTTTCTTCTCGAGTGATGGAAGTGTTCTAAAATTAGCTCGTGTGAAGATTGCACAACGCGGTGAATGTACTAAAACCCACTGAGGTGTTCACTCTAAATGGGGGACTTGTATGGCCTGGGCGGTTTCTCGCAGGAAGCTGTTTTAAAAATGCAAGATCTATGACATGACCTAAGAAGGTGACAGTCGTAGGCACCATCCTTTCTTGCCGCTCACATCCCTCCGTGTGGAGCGTGCACTAGGCGTGAGCTCAGAGCGAGACGTGCTCTGTGCACAAGGACCTTCATCCAGACTTAATCTTAGCCAGTCTACCGCCTGGCAGCTATAAACACCGTGACAGAGCAGCGTGCCAAAGTCCAAGTTCCCTACCTTCCCATAACAAAAGGACTTCACACCTACCTGCCCGGGACGCTGGGCTGTCAGACTAATGCCTCACACTCGATGATAATGCCACATCAGAAATTGCTTTTTAATCTTTCAAAATCTACACAGCGTTTAGAAATACCAATTGTAGCCCTGACCGGTTTGGCTCAGTGGATAGAGCGTCAGCCTGTGGACTGAAGGGTCCTGGGTTCGATTCCGGTGAAGGGCATGTACCTTGGTTGCGGGCACATCCCCAATAGGAGGTGTGCAGGAGGCAGCTGATCGATGTTTCTCTCTCATTGATGTTTCTAACTATCCCTCTCCTTTCCTCTCTGTAAAAAATCAATAAAGTATATTTTAAAAGATAAAAAAGAAATATCGCCGAAACCGGTTTGGCTCAGTGAATAGAGCAAAGTTTTTAGAAAAAAAAATATCAATTGTATTCTCGTGGGCAGAAAGGCAGGAGGCGGTAGACAGTAGGACTTCGAGATCTCACGCCCGGCCACGGTTCAGAGACCCACGAATACTTCCCACAGAACCAATGCCAACACAGCAGCTTAAAGCGCAGCAGTGAACACCAACGTTCATGTTAAAGTCGTGAAGATCCACAACGGACCGTACCCACTTCCTACGGATGCGAACAGTTCGTCCTCAGAGGTCACAGACTCCCATTGGTTCAGAAACTTTCCTACAAGTTACTGTTACAGGGACTTTTAACGTCCACTTACTTTGGCGGCGTCAAAAATCTTCATCACGGCGGCGGAAATTTCTGGGCCGATGCCATCTCCTGGAATTAAAGTCACTGTCTGAACCTGAATAGAAGAAACCACCAAAAAAGAAGCCATCGAGGAAGACAGTAAGAATCGATTTTTGAAGGTTAAACAAGAACACTGTTGCCAAATCCGCTTTATGGGGGGGCCGTTAAGAAAACAGTCCGCCCTCCCTGGGCCATCAGAGGCGAGGTCACAAGCGACTCCACTACCCTCTGTACCAGAGTTATGGGGCTGTGCAAAGGTCCTAACGGCTGCTCTTTAGATGGAACAAAAATAAATTAAAACTGCTCAGGAGACTCCCAATTGATACTCCTTTTCAGACAAGCTACCAAGGGGCCATTAATTCAAGTCTGTGAAAGCAGAGAGCGCGACACATGTCAACGGTGTCCTGAGCTTCGCGAGCAGGCGAGCGCTCGCTCTCCACACGGTCCTGGAAAGTGCGGATTCTGACGGAAACCTGTCCCGTCTGGTGAGACTTCCCGGCACTCGGAACGCCTCCGGGGTCTGCTTGTCACTCAGAGAAGACGAGACTGGGCGTCAGAGAGGGTCTCCGTCTTCCCGAGTTCCTCTCTAAAACTGGCTCCGTCGTGAGAAATGCCGTGGAAGTCAACTTGTAACCAGCAGGA